GTTGGGGGTAGGGGTGGGGGGCAATTCTTAGGTAATTCTTAAACCAGCTGCCGATGTTTGATACTTTTTTGGCACAGCCAGTCGTCAGGAAAGACATGTGGGTAAGAATAAACAAAGCGGACGACGTGTCTTCATAGTCTGCCGCCGTCACGCCGTAACCTTCACCGGGTCCAGGGGGGACGTGGTGGATTCTCTCCCTTTATATTGTACATAATAAATTGTCTCGGCCGCCTTCTTTCGGGGAGGTATCCTTCATCTGTGACCTTAACCGTCCTCCGGCCCTGTTGGTAGACGCGAGGGCCCAGATTCATCATCACCTTTCACTCCCCTCTTCTGGCCTATCTGATCTATGATAGCGTTAATAAAAAAACGCCCCCGTCACCGTCGGGGCTCGGAACCGATTACCAACGGCGATCCACAAACCATTAAACTGTATTTACTTATCGGCCTCGCCGGAGCCATCGCCGCGCGACGCCCCGAGGGGGAAGGAGCGCTGTGACCTTTTCGGTATCGTTTAGTGCCGTTTGTTGCCTCTGCTCAGGCGATTCGTCCCGTCTTTATCGTTTACGAAGGACATTTATATTCTACAAATACGTTTGAAAAAAAAAAAAGATGTTTAATTGAAATACTAGAATTTTCGGGAAGTCCTTTAACCGTTAATGGCTCAAATTTCTGATCCCGTATCAACCTCCTCCATCAGTTCTTGATTTTTTTTTTCTCACCAACTCCCAGTCCGATATTCCTGGTGTTGGTTTGTTTTCTTTTTCTTTTCTTTCTTCTCCTCTCGTGATTCCAAACGTTGATCCCTCTGTTCCAGTTCTCACGTTATCGTCGGGCCTCTCGTATCACGGTATCTCTGTGTCTCGATACGTATCATCGTTCAGTCCGATTCTCGCCCCCCTAACGTGTACCTCACTTTTAGTGCATCGTTCTTTGACTCGTGTTTTTTTCCTTCTGACGGTGCGTTTTTTTTCGTTTGTCTGTCCGTGCCCTCCAGGTTTGAGCGACGGCTGAAAGAACGGTGCTAGCGCAGGCGTACGGCGCTAGCACAAGGTGAACTCCTCTGGTTCGTTCGTTCTTTCTTTCTTTCCTTCTTCCTTCAGTCATTTCTTATCAGTTGAAACGTGTCACCGTCTCTTTGGCTTAACTTCTTGATTACATCCATCCACAACTCTGTCTCTGCACAAAAAGGGACATTAGGTCCAGAGTTTTACCTGTTGGATCTTTCCCAAAACTCCGAAAGAAACCACCAAGAATGTCTTTGTTGTTTTTTTATTGGACCTCAAAGCTACTTTGAACTCGCTGTAATTAGCTTCCTCTTAACACGATCGATCTCCCTGGACGAAATACACAACTTCCTGTCTTCTGCACTTCATACTTTGTCGCCATATAAATCTCCTCGGGATCGGAAAAGTCCTCCGACGTCGGCGTTGTTCGGGAAAAGTCGACCAAAGACCAAAAATCCAAAGGCACCGGAAGCTGTAAATGTTTAATGGAGTATTACTTTTCTTGTGGTAATCTCTTGATCGGAGGTTCTAGTGGAGGCAGGGGGGGGGGGGGCACCTCTCCAACCATAAAAACGTTATAAAATCCCATTACTCTTGGATAATCCCTCTGTCATTTATATGTCGTATACATATATATGTGTCATATATATATGACCTATATATGACATATATATACATATACATATATATACATACATACATATATGTATATATATTTATATATGTATATACAGTATATCTATATATATACATATATACATACATATATATACATATACATATATATGTATACATATACATACATATATACATATACATGTATGTATATATATCTATATATATACATACATATATATACATATATACATATACATATATGTATATATATATCTATATATACATACATATATATACCTATACATATATATGTCGTCAAAAAAGTGGACTTTTTCCTGAAATAAAAACGTTATAAAATCCCATTACTCTTGGATAATCCCTCTGTCATTTATATGTCGTATACATATATATGTGTCATATATATATGACCTATATATGACATATATATACATATACATATATATACATACATACATATATGTATATATATTTATATATGTATATACAGTATATCTATATATATACATATATACATACATATATATACATATACATATATATGTATACATATACATACATATATACATATACATGTATGTATATATATCTATATATATACATACATATATATACATATATACATATACATATATGTATATATATATCTATATATACATACATATATATACCTATACATATATATGTCGTCAAAAAAGTGGACTTTTTCCTGAAATAAAAACGTTATAAAATCCCATTACTCTTGGATAATCCCTCTGTCATTTATATGTCGTATACATATATATGTGTCATATATATATGACCTATATATGACATATATATACATATACATATATATACATACATACATATATGTATATATATTTATATATGTATATACAGTATATCTATATATATACATATATACATACATATATATACATATACATATATATGTATACATATACATACATATATACATATACATGTATGTATATATATCTATATATATACATACATATATATACATATATACATATACATATATGTATATATATATCTATATATACATACATATATATACCTATACATATATATGTCGTCAAAAAAGTGGACTTTTTCCTGAAATAAAAACGTTATAAATCCCCATCACTCTTGGATAATCCCGCCGCCATTTTGAATTTATTTGGAGGTTACTGTTTGGGATTGTGAACTCAACAGTGAGATGGAGGGAAAACAAACAAAACAAGACCTTAATTGGTCTGGGGATTTGAACCATCCAAAGGTCTGTATTTGCATCGTCCTGGTCCCGGCCTCGGTGGTAAAAGTGTGTTTCAAATGAGATTGAATTGATTTTTTTTCCTCGGCCAAACTCTGAATCCGCGTTTTTTTTTTTGTTGGCGATTTTAGTTTAAATTACCACCAGAGCGATAGGAAACATCACTAATTAGAATGAAAGTTTAACTTATTGAATTAGTGAAATTAGTGAAAAAAACAAGTCGTTTTTTGTACTATATTATGTCTTGAAAATATACTTTTTTATTACATTACTTACATTAAATTACAACATCAATTGTAATTTAAGGAACCATAAATTACTTAAATTTATGTAATAATTTAATAATAATTTATTAAATGTATGTAATAATTACATCAATTATTTAAAATAATTAGACATTAATGACCAAATTAATGTCTCATTAATTAAAATGGCCACTGGCGTCCACTTATTATTTCTACTATATCATAATTAGAGTCAAACTTAATTATCTTTTAGAATTCTATTTTTTAAACTTTCAAGACAAAAAAACCAAACAGTTCAGATAAAACTATACCGTAAATTAAACCGATGTTTTCATATTTATAAGGTTAAAATAAACGTCATTTCACTAAATGATTAATTGAATTGTGTTAATATAACTTATTTACTCGATAAATACATTTAAAAAAAGAACGTATAAAAGAATTGACGAAAAAGAGAGAGAAAGAAACAGGAACCATTCATTGACTGTGTGTTTTCAGCGGACAGGAAACGACGACGGACCTTCGTGTTACAGCTTCCTGTTTTTAAGCCGAAGAGAAGGTTTGAGTTTTGAAAAACCCAAACATTTCCTGAACATAAGTTCATTCCTTAATTCAAACCGGTGACCAACATTGAAGGTAAACGACGTCACGAATGCTATCGTTAATTGCTAACTAAAAAGTTAGCATCTAGCTTTGGGCTCGTCGTACGTTCGTGAAAATAGTCAATTCCACAATATCACCTTTAAAATACGCAATGGCGCGTTGGGTTAAAAGCGAAACTATTCATTTTGTAAATTATGAAAAAGTCTTATAACGTGATATAAACGGTTAGTTGAGCAGAACAGGCTAAGTCGACGAGCTAGCGGCCAGAGACCGGAGCGGAGTCGGTGGTCGCCGATAATAACATTCGTCATATCGGATGATGTTTTCAGACCAAATATAACCAGATATATTTGGCTTTTCATACAGACTTCGATGCTGAGAACATGTTACAAACTGTGTCCAACAGTAATAAAAATAATAAACGACCGGTCTTAAAAAAGAGAAAGAGTCAAAAACAGATGAAACACAGACATAGTTATTGATGTCCAAACGACGACGACGAAGTCCTCGTTGGTCATTAGAAGATGACGAGATTTGACGTTGTTGTTGTAGGAGTTTAAAGACGGTCCGTAATGAAATGTACCCTGCCATATACTGTATATATGTATATATATATATATATACATATATAAAATATATATATAAATATATATATAAATATATTACTGTAAGTAAGTCGGTTTACTTTAGCAGGGTGTGGTGAATGAAATATGTGCCATAATGAAATGTACCCTGCCATATACTGTATATATATATATATATATATATATATATA